GAAAGAACTACTCATTTATAAACAATATTTTAGTTACCTACATGCTAGGCTACAGACTTATTGTTCCAGCCTGTTAAGCGTGTGACATCAGCATACACCTCTTTACTACTAATATTCAAGAGACACCACTTAACTGTATTGATCACACAATAGATAGGCTCGCCTATCGTCTGGTTCACTCACCTCTCCGATTTTTTGAACAGGAGTAGAGGTTTATCCCTTGTCTCTTGTTTAGGATTAGGTTTCCGGTTCCTTCAACTCTGTAATTCTGACATCGCCTGAAATCTGAAATTTTATTCAGTAATTATTATTATTTTTTCCTCTCCCAATAGGAGTAGATCGGTCTGCCTATCATCCAGTTTCCACTCCTCCGCGGTCTTTGGAACAGAAGTAGAAGGTTTATAATTTGTTTCCGGTTTAAGACTGAGTTTCCGGTTCTTTCGAAAGTCTACTACAACTCTATATTTCTTATGTCTCATCCCCGATATTTTGAACGGGACTAGATGTTTATCCCTTGTTCCCTGTTTAGGATTGGGTTTCCGCTTCCTTCTAAAATCTACTTCAATTCTATACATCTAACGTCTCCTCCCCGATCTTTTGAACAGGAGTACAGGTTTATCCCTTGTTCTCTGTTTAGGATTAGGTCTCCGCTTCCTTCTAAAGTCTACTTCAATTCTATACATCTAACGTCTCCTCCCCGTTGTTTTGAACAGGAGTAGAAGGTTTATCCCTTGTTCCCTGTTTAGGATTGGATTTCCGCTTCCTTCTAAAGTCTACTTCAACTCTATACTTCTAACGTCTCCTCCCCTGTCTTTTGAACAGGAGTAGAGGTTTATCCCTTGTTCCCTGTTTAGGATTGGGTTTCCGCTTCCTTATAAAGTCTACTTCAACTCTATACTTCTAACGTCTCCTACCCGGTCTTTTGAACAGGAGTAGAGGTTTATCCCTTGTTCCCTGTTTAGGATTGGGTTTCAAGGCAAATTCAAGGCAAAAAGGCATTGGATTGACAAAGACAAATCTCCACTACCGGCCCCAAAATTTGATATCCACTGGAGAACGCTAATCTTATGCGTATGGCTAAGGGGTATTATATATTTAGAATTCTTAAAACACAATAAAGAACTAAATGCACATTTATATATCTATCAGCTGCAACATGTCCGTAAAAATTTAGTAGAGATTGCATCACGCTTGTCAATAATAAAATTATGTTCTCTATGAGGGCACAAGGTCACAAAGAGCAATAATGGTGGCGGTGCGGAGGGGGACATTTTGGAATTCGGTTATCTTGTTCTATCCACAGCCCGTCATAGTCATCTCACCTAGTACTGACCGATTATTATCTTTTTCGGTCGCTGCCAAACAGTTTGATGGTGAAACCTTTTTGTAAAAAAAAAAAGCAGATTTAAGTTCTAAGATTTAACTTTTTCATATAAAAACCTACGAATTTTTACTCAAAATTATATCGAATAGCTTCCTGATCATTGGCAACAAATCCTTGCAAATAATACATTTCTATATTAAAATCACCTCCAATGCATTTCGATAGCGAAATCACTTCCAATGCATTTCTATAGCATTATCGTTTCCATAGTATACATCGTATAATGGTGAATATATAATTGAATAAAATGTAATTGTACTTTATTTTTTGAAGAATAAATTTGATGAGCAAAAACAGAAAGTATTTATGACTCAACCTAATATTTTATAGCAAAATCACTTCCATTGCAATCCTATAGTAAAATCACTTCCAATGTATTTCTATAGTAAAATCACTTCCAATGCATTTCTATAGCATTATCGTTTCCATAGTATACATGGTATAGATAATGGTGAATATATAATTGAATAAAATGTAATTGTACTTTATTTTTTTGAAGAAAAAGTTGATAAACAAAAACGACTCCCCCTAATGGAATGTTTTCGCCGCAAATTAATGCCTCGCCTATATGTCCTGAACATGACTGTTTCACTATGATAGCGTTCATTATATTTCTAAAGGACTTTATTTCGTTCACTGGGATAGACTGTTCTAGTTTCACGTGTTATATTGAGTGGATGTCTGTTATCAGTTATCTCCTGTTAATTCCCCTCTCCAAGTTCTCCACTGCTTTAATCGGGTATTGAACTCACACTCTTTGGGTCCTGTCACTGGATCTAACTAAATGGCACAGTGGAACTAAAACAGTCTACAAAGCGAAATAAAGGGTTCAGTTCGACATTCCAACCACCTGAAGAAGGCCGAAGCGTACAACGGCCGAACCGTTGTAATAAATATGGCGACAACGATGAGGACAATAGTCCGAATAAGGTAAATAGTGTTACTTTATTTAGTTCGTTCGCTCGTAAGTCACTTCCTGCTAATATCTAATAAATAATAGACTATTCCGGTTTGATCGCGAAAGAAAACGAAAAAGACTAATGGAGACGCTGTTTTAGTATCAGCGACCATAAGAAAAGGAGATAGAAAGAAAGAAAGAAAGAAAGAAGCAAACAGCTAAAGCGACGGTTGATTGATTGCTTTTCTACAGCTTATCAACCCTTTATAGGTTATTTAAAGCCAGTTAAATATATTTAAATTGTAAGATTTCCTTTGTTTTTATATATATAATAATGATTTAATTTTTACTAATTAACCCATAGCTAGGGGAGAAGAGGCGGATTTATACCTTTCCCAAGTGAATACAATGAACCTAGCTAGAATTAGAACTCGGTTTTCTTATTAACAATTCCGAGCCATTATCCATTACACCACCCGCGCAGCACCTGATATACCCAAGCGATCACATATCTAGGTACTGACCAGGCTCGACGTTGCTTAACCGGTGATTTTTTTAGACGTTCAATATATGATTCATTGATTACTCCTGGAATTATAAAAACTGCTTCTTGCTCAATATCTTTAAAAGATTTATGCGTTTAATATAACAGTGAAATGGAAATATCTCTCGGAAGAAAAAAAAGATTAGCAACCGAACGACAATGAAAGCGACGACAAAGCCTATTTCAAAACCAGGTTGAGTCAAGATACTCACTTAATAGACAGAGATACCTGAATGCCTCACATGAAAGGCTTGAACAAATAAGACTGCAATGTAAGAAACGTAGGAGAAAAGTAATTGATTAAATAAACGGTTCATTTTGCTCGGGAACTAATTTTGTTTCAATGCAGATAAATAGTTTATTTGTATAGATTATTAAAACGACTAAGGGAAGTAATCGCTCCTAAATACTAACTTAAGCTGATTTACCTCCCTTCCCACTACAGATGCCTCAATAAATACATAGGGAAAAAAATATTTTTTTTTGCTGTGTATGTATATCCAAGTATGAATAAATATCATATGTGCTAATTTGAAAATGGTTATGTAAGCATATATTTCGCCACACTTGCTGTAAGTTTTGTGCGTCTTCATGGAATTTACAAGAATATATTGTGTTGCTCCCAAAGGGCATATCAAAGGTTAAATTAGCCTATATCTTTACCTTGGCTCGGAGCCTACTTCCGCATCGTTCGTACTGAAAACGTTGGAACAGGTGTGACGAATTCTATCAATGTACGATGTTTTATTTCTACCAGAGCAGTTCTTGGTTTTGATTGAATATTCCCAGGGCGAGAAGTCGGATTTCGAATTGGGCAAATTACCGTATGTGCTTAATCATTTAATGGTCCCAAGCGTAAAATAAATTATTTGTATATTTTCTGTAGCTATATTTACCAGAATCGAAAAAAGTAAAATAAAATAAAATAAAATAATTAATAAAAAATAAATAAAAATAAAATAAATAAATATAAAATAAATAAAAATAAAATAGTTCTCTGCGATAACTATTTTTACAGAATTAAGAACTCTCTAACTCTAGAATCATTAAAAGAGATACTATACTCCCTGTATTTGTAAACAGGAAATTTAATTAATAACAACAAAAAAACAAAACAAAACAAAAAAACAAACAAAAAAACAAAGAGCTCTTATAAGAAAGCGAGAAAAAAGGACTATTGATTGTACGGAGTCAGGATGCCTGGTTGCCAATAGAAAGGCGACCCCGATATCTGAGCAACGTGTTGCGGACGTGAAAAAGAAGCATGCACAAGAGTTCAACTATCTGGGTAGTGTACTAACAGACGACGAAAAATGTGAGACAGAATTCAGAAAGCGTAGCGTAATAGCAAAGTTGCCGTATAGAAACCAAGCAAAGTTATTAAGATATGGGAAAATACCGTTAGAAACAAAGAAAAGAGTGATGAACTGCTATGTAATCTCTAATCTCCTATATGGCAGTGAATGCTGGACAATCTCCTCATGCCTTTAAGAAACCAAGCAAAGTATTAAGACATAGAAAAAGGTTGTCAGAAACAAAGAAAAGAGTATTGAATTGCTATGTACTATGTAACTTCCTATACGGCAGTGAATTCTGGACAATCTCCTCATAACTTTTAGAAACCAAGCAAAGTAATAAGATATGGGAAAATGTCGTTAGTAACAAAGAAAAGAGTGATGAACTGCTATGTAATCTCTAATCTCCTATATGGCAGTGAATGCTGGAAAATCTCCTTATGCCTTTTAGAAACCAAGCAAGGTATTAAGAAATGAGAAAATGTAGCTAGAGACAAAGAAAGTAGGACAATCTACTCATGCCTTTTAGAAACCAAGCAAAATATTAACTATAATTAACTCTAGATACATACATAAAATAATCCATATATTCAGTTAAAAATAAAAATAAAAATCATCCTTGATAATGGCTGAAAGAATAACCAAAAGCGCTCGGACATGTAGAACGTTTTAGTTTGGTTACATTTCTTGCTTTTCTATTAATTAAATCCTGACAATCAAATTAAGCAATCGTTTATGCAAATTGAACACGAATTCTTGCACAGAAACTAAGAAACCCGAAGAGTGGTCAAAATCCCAAGTTGCTTTCATGCAAAAAAACAAAAAAACAAAAAAAAAAAAAACATCGTGTTAATGACAAAGATTTCCCCCAATGGGCGTCACCCAAATAAGTGATTTTTTTTCGATCACTACAGGGTGGTCCGAAAGTCTTCTCACCCCCTGTATAATCTAATTTTCTATTTCAACGCTCTGTAGTGTATTATCAAAGAGAGCGTTTTACATGAACGATACCAGAATACCCATCAGCTGAAGGACGCCGTTCGGAGAGCCCTTGCAACAATCAACAAAGGGCAGCTTCGTAAAATATCACACAGGACATGGCGTCGCATCATTTTGTACCACAAAAATGATGGATGTTCATAAAGACCTTCGCGATGTTCGACAGCGTCAATGAAAGTGAATAAACTGAATCCAGTACACGTGATTTGTATTACTGTATTACTTCTTGTTCTATTGTTCTCGTTAATTAGTGACAAGACTTTTGGACCAACCTGTAGACTGAACTCGCTTCGAGAGTTCTAAGTGTCTCCTTGCGTTGAGTACAGGCCGGTCCGAAAGTCTTGTTACCCCCTACATAATATAATTTTCTATTACAGATGGCTGACCCGAGCTCCTCTACGAAAATGATGTTGTTCATACAGACCTTTTCGATGTGTGTCAGCGTCAATGAAAGTGAATAAGGTGAATCCAGTACATACCCTTTGTGTTACTGTATGAATTATTCTATTATTCTAATTACTTTTTGATAGAGGGTGACATAAATCTCGGACCACTCTGTAGATTGAACTCCCTTCTAGAGTTTTGTCTCTCCTTGCAATAGGTGCTGTAGAGTACAGGGTGGTCCGAAAGTCTTGTCACCTACTACATAATATAATTTTCTATTTCAGATGGCTGACACGAACTCCTCTACGAAAATGATGGATATTCATACAGACCTTCTCGATGTGTGACAGCGTCAGTGAAAGTTCAATAAACTGAATCCAGTACATGTGATTTGTATTACTGTATTACTTGTTCTTCTATTGTTCTCATTAATTTTTGATAGTGGGTGACAAAACTTTCAGACCACTCTGTATTTTGGTGTTATAATTTTCTAATTTCTTAAACACGGTCAACAGATTGCGGCTGTGTTCACAGCTGATGTTACTGAAAATATGTCTGGAAAATGAAAAAAAAAAATATTTCTATAATTATAGATGCATACATTATAGATTCCATATATTCAGTTAAAAATAAAAATCATCGTTGATAATGACTGAAAGAATAATCGAAAACGTTCGGACATACAGAATATTCGGGCAATTTTTAAAAAAAGGTAAATATTGGTTTTGTTACCCGTGCGCTAATATCCCTTCAAATTTTTTTAAAAATCGTCATAATTTCGTGCAAATGTACATGCTGAACACGAATTAACAATTAAATTATGAAGAAACCTCACCGTTTTGGAGTTATCGACTAGAAAAAAATCGGACTTTTTGTTGGTCATTCCTCCACCATTACTGCCATCATGAATCTCGATTCAATGTGGGATACCTACGCCGGCGTAATAAGAAAATTTGGCCTATTTACTTCTTTTACAGACTTTTCTTACAGAAAATCACTACGCACGGGTAACAAAACCAATATTTGCCTAAAAAAAAAAGAAAAAAAAAAAAGAAAGATTAAATAAAAAAAACTTAATTGCAGTACCTTATCAGTCGTCTTTAATGAAGCAGACCTTAGTTACGGTTTCTGGAAGAGAGCGTATTATCTTGCGTGATCAACAATTTGAAGAAGGCCAGCACGCTCAAGCCCTCGGCCAAGATGACTTGTGGCTTCGTGCTAGCACAGCAATCGACGTCTTTCAAGAGTTCTGTCGACCCAATTTTACTTACAAGGCTTGGGTATGGCCTTTAGTCACCGGCCAAAGACACGCTGAGATCGACCTCGATCCAGTCCGATAAAATCAGAAAGTCTTCTTCCTGACAAATCGACCATGATGAGATTCGAACCCGGGTCACAGAAAGCGAACGTTTTAACCACTCGTCCATATATATATATATATATATATTTTTTGAATTTGTAGGTCTGATGAATTGGATTGTATTTATGATTCCAATGGAATAAATTATGACCATGTAATATTGGTGTTTAAGCCGTTTTATTATTATATATATATATATATATATATTTATGTTTAACGTTCTTTTTTTTTATAGATACAAGTATTTAAGTAAATGCTCTGTTTATAATAAACAGTATTAAATAACATTTACCGGCCTGAATGTCCGAGAAATTTTCATAGAAAATATTCATTCTTTGACAGGATTCGAACCTGCATCCTATACGGAACCGTCATTTACGCTGACGTGCCTTATCGATCGGCCACAAAGAAGCGTTCGGTAGACACGGTCGAATTTACTGTTTATAAACTTCAATCTTCCATGAATCTCGTACATTCATAACTGCTCTGGAGTATCAAATGTAAACAAATGACGTCATATATTAAGAAATAGACAAAGTCCGACAATTTATTTATTAAAGACATTTTTATGTTTAACGTTCTTTTTTATAGATACAAGTATTTAAGTAAATGTTCTGTTTATAATAAACAGTATTA